GGGGCCCTAGGGCAACAGTGAGCTCAGCGTTTCCGGTCAGACCACGACTGCGGCTGGGCCAACCCCGCCGTCAGGTGCTGACCCTCCAAAGGGTGGCTCGGGGGTCCCCAGCCCTGCCCAGAGCCCCTCTGCCCCAGCCAGTGCTTCCGTCGTCGGCTTCATCTCTGACCAAGTCCCTCCCTCGCAGTGACCTCGGCCACACGGACTTCTTAGGCCACCAAGGGACAGGGCTTTGTGTGGCTGGTCACGGCAGAGGGCAGGGTGCCAAGGAGGATCTCCACCGGTCTGTGACTGTCCTCCCCACTGACCTGTACCCCCTGCCAGTGCCTCTGCCCCTGCCTCCGGGGCTGCTCCTGACCACCACCAGCCTCTTAGTTTCCATGACAACCATCCCAGAAATTTAAAAGGGAGGAAAAAGCAAGGTGGTGGCAGGGCGCTCATGGCTCCAGATGCAGCGAGCTCGCCCCTCCCTGCCTGGTCATTCCCTGCCGGAGCCCTTCCTCGGGGGTCAGCCCTGGCCCTCCAGGTGGACCTGTGACCCTAGCAGCCACGTGAGGGTCTCTGTGGCTGGGGCAGCTGTGGGCCCGTGACACCGCAGGGCCTGTCAACCTTGTGTGGCGGGTGGGGGAGACAAGGTCACTCTCTGTGGAATGCAGGTCTAGGGGCCGCTGTGGGTGCCTTGGTGGCCATATGAAGAGGGAGGGACAGTTTGGGTGGGTGTGGAGCCAGCTGGGCTCGACGCTGGTCAGAAGTCAACACCAGCCTGCAGTCTACTGAGCCAACAAGTCCGTTACCATCCCAGCCCGCTGATGCGGCTTTCCTGAAAACGCTGGGACGGGTGCCCCCATCAGCCACGGTTTCTGCACCTGGAAAGCAGGGATGATGCCTCCTTCCCGGTGGTGGGCGGAGGTCTCAGCAAATGAGACCAGCCCTTTGCAGCTGCCTCCCACGGCCCCAGGAGCGACCTGCCCACTGGCTGCCTGGGTAGAGGGCGGAGGGGGGACGGTGTGCGCTCTGTGCACACACACCTAACGCTGCACGCATGCACTGCTCATTTGGGAACGGCAGCTCATGGCCTGGAGGCTTGGCCAGGCAGCTAGGTCCCCCAGGCCCACCTACTCCCTGGACCGTCCCCAAGTGCTCTGGGGCACTTGGCCTCTGCCTCATCTCACTTCGTCTTCCCACCTGCTCACACCGCAGCTGGTGTTGGCCTGGAGACCTTCGGGGGACTTGCCCAAGGTCACGAGCTTCAAGAGGAGCAAAGCTGGACTAAACCCCGGGTCTTAACCAGCCAGGCTCTGGCCACACTCCTGCTGCTGCCCCTGGGGAGGCCTGGGGCCTGGCTAGTGGGCTTCTCAGCTGGGACGGGGGCTCCTCCCAGCCACACCCTGACAGGTGCTTGGAGCACCGGGGACAGCCAGGGAGGTCGCTGCCCTGCCGAGATGGGGAGACATAACACCGGAAGGCTGGAGTTAGAGCATGTGGACATTAAATCACTAAGTTGTTCTAAAGAATCACACACAGACCATGAGGAGAGACTGGGAGGGCTCAGGAGGGTCCTGCACGGGAAAGCTCTTCCCACAGGAAGTCTGAACAGAGTCAGGACCACATGGGCCTTCCGGGAGGCAGAGCAGATGGAGCCCCCGGGAGTCTGCTGCCCGGCTCAGCAGGGCCCCACGGCTGGAGCTCAGCGGGGCCAGACCTCCCCCCTCCCTGTCCCCACTGTGATCTCTGAGGTAAATTTCCAGGGAGACTCTTCATCCTAAACAGGCAGAGTTCTCTGTGGGCATTCCCTGAAGCCACAAGGAGCCGCGCCAGGCTGCGGGACGGTCAGCACCGCGGACAGCGACAGCGCAGCCTGAGGACCCTGTGCCTCCAGGTGGGGGTGAGTGCCTGGGGCCCCGGTGGGCTGAGCTGCTGGGCGTTTGGGGGTGTGTGATGGAGCGTGTGTGTTGGGAGGGTGGAGGGAGAAGCCAGCGACTCAGGCCTCTCGATTGACCCCTGCCACCTGGCCACAGACCACTCCCTCTGCCTTTTGGTGGGCATCTGGGGTCCAGGCTCCCCGTCAACCCTGAGGACCTATTTTTGGTGGGCTCTAATGCTGTCCTAATGACTTAATTCTTATGTGGTCATCAGTCCCCAAAGTGCTGCCCCATTCTGATAAGACCCCTGAGGCCTGAGTCAAGACATGGTCACTGGCACCCAGGCACCGGGAGTCCACTGGCCAGGGAGGCAGGTGCGGGGTGTGGACACTGTGGGACGGGCCCTCAGTGGGAGCCTCTGGCCGGGCTCCCACTTGTGGAGGGGGCTGGCTGCCCCCCTGCCCCCTGCCCGTGGACCCAGCGACTGAGACCCCTTCCCTCTCCTGGGAGGTTCCTGGAAGCCAGAGACTGGAGGGTCTTGAGTGACCACTGCATGTGCCCGAGCACCGGCCCTGGGTCTGAGGTGCCACCGAGCTGTGCGCAGAGAGGGGCCCTGGGCGCTGTGGGGCCGGGTCCAGGTCAGCTGGCCAGCACTCCTGCTCACGGGGAGGGGCCCGAGAAGGCAGTTGACTGAGGCTTGGTGGCATGTGAGAGGAGGCTCCCCTTCGTGCCCTCGGGGCTGTCGTGGGGGCACGTTGCGCCATGGACTCAGTGCTCTGCACGTTCTGAATGGGAAAAAGACCAAGATGGTCTCAGAAAGCCAGCCGTCGTTGTCCTCCGTACAGTTGGGAGTCAGAGCGTGTCCTGCACATCTCAGCGTGAGACTCTGCATCAAGGCATCCTGCGCGTGGCGGATCTGCGGTCACCCAGCGCCTTCCTCCCAGCCCCGCCCCTGCCCCTGCCCCAGGCTGGCCTTGCGCTGTTGGGGTGCAGGGCGGCTCTGGGGGACACGCAGCCTGAGCAGCATCAGGTGGGGGGAGAGAAGGGGGGTCTTTTCTCAGGGCACTGAGGAGGTGGGGACGCACGCTCCGGGCTCCCACGAGGCAGTGTGCAGTCTGTGTCCATCTGTTAAAATGACGTTCAGAGTAGAAGTCTGCTCTTCTCCATGTGGACATTCCGGGACTGAGGTAAGGGCGCCCCTGCCCGTCCGTCAGGAGTGTGGTCGCTGGAAGGGGGGCCATGGCGCTTGGCCCCTTGACCCGAAAGGTGGGAGTTTCTCGCTGGTCCTGCATCTCACATGCTCGCCCTTCTCCCTTAGAACACGCTCCCAGTGTCCACTCCCAGCCATGCCCTGATTACACCCAAATCTGCCCCTCCTGGCCTCGTCTTGAGCTCTAGACTGTCTGGATGGACGTCTATGTGGGGGTGTCCACAGGCGTGGCCAGCAACACGGCCAGAGCCCAGCGGAAGTCCTCCCCACGCCTGGGGCAGGGCTGGGACGGGCCCCCCTCCCCTGCACAACTGCTTCGTCTTCCCCCTGCTCCTGCCTTCTGTCCATCCTCGAGCCTGGCTCTTTCTAATCTGATCAAGGGGTCCTTCTCAGGGCTGCTGGCCTCCCCTAGGCCCCAGCAAGGCTGGCCTTGACCTCTTGCCAGGGGGGTGGGCTTCGGATTGGTGGCTGAACTGACCGTGTGGCCCTGGCATCGTGAGGTGTCCTGGGGTCTCACATGCGTCTGGGCAGCTGTCTGTGTCCCCTGTGTCAGTCCCAGGGCACCCTGGCCGGCAGGACCCAGCCTCCTGGGTCCTGAGGGTGGGTTTTCACCTAGGGGAGGGGCCAAGGCCCGGGGGCACTGTACCACTGCACCCCCGCGAACTGACGGGTCTGAAGGCCCCTCCTGGGCCTGCGGTCCCCCACGGAAGGCAGGGATGGCAGCCTCCGTCTGGTGAAATGACCCACGAGAAGGCCGCTGGGTCTCCAGGGAAAGGGCCTCCTGGCTTCCCCGAGGCCCCCAGCTGGACGTCGTGGTTGCATTCTGCTGTGGGACGGCCAGTCCTCGGCCGTGGATCTGGGTGGGGGAGGGTGTCCTTAAGCAGAGCCTCACCCTGGGGGTCTGATTATAGGAGTTTGTGCCCTCCCACCCCCCACTGCCGGTCTCAGGCCTGAGGCAGTTGCCTAATTATGCCTGTAATTAGCTGCTTGGCACCCTCAAAATTAGCAAGTGGCTAATTGTGCCTGTAATTATCAACTGCACCCGTAATTAACCGTGTGAGTGACTTTTTGTTACACATGTTATTGTGGATGCAAATTTGCACCTAAGTAAAGCCAGGGTTGTTGTGGGGAGAGGAAGTCGGAAGCCCCAACCCTACCACCGGGCTGGGGTGCAGGGAACGCCTGGCTTGCGGCTCAGGCCTGACTGTGACACTTAGTAGCTGGGCCAGACGGCAGCCACGCAGCCTTTCTGAACCGCGTTGACTGAAGGAGGGCAGGGCCCTGCGGGTCCAGCCGGGCCGGACATAGAGGCCCCGCCGTGTGGCCTGAGGACCGGGAAGGTGTGAGCCACCCCCGCTCCGGGCTCCTCCATCTCACACTCAGGCCAGCTGTCCGGGGCACTAGGTCATGTGACCAGGCCGGGCCCATCAGAGCTTCCGAGGACGGCCAAGCCTGGCTGGGTGGACCTCTTGATCTGGGGCCATGGCCGGGGGGCAGGGGAGGGGCTGCAACTCTGGTTTCCCACCAGACGGAAGAGCCACTGCATGGGGAGGGGCCAGGCCCCCAAGACAATGGAGGGCGGGCCGGAGGGCTCCCAAGTGGACCCAGGCCTTCCCTGGCATTACGAAGAGAGGAGGAGAGCCTTGAGTTCAACCTTCCAAGAACTTGGAACCGTTTACGCCATGGCATGCAGGCCCTCATTGCTCGGTCCCCTGGGCCTCCCACACGTCACAAGCCGGCCTGCTTTTGCTCATGTCTGTGCTCCCAGAGCCCAGAACCGTGTCTGCGACAGAGCAGGGCTCCGGAGATGTCGGCCGGACCAACAGGCCCCACTCTCAACACCAAGCCCCTGTGTGTCCATCTGCCGTCCGTGAGCCCCAGGGGCTTTGTGGATGCACGAGAGACAGAAGCCAGGGTGAGGCCGACTATTTAAAAGGGGGACTTTATTGACTCCCGTGGAGCAGTGTGCCCACAGTGCCCGGCTCCGCTCCAGCACACGACACCCCACAGAGCTGCCGCTCAGTTCCGAACCAAGACCGCCTGGCACTAAAAACACAGAAAACATCGACGCGCTTCCCTTTTTTTTCTTTCTTTTTTTTTTTTTTTTGGTACAAAATGATACAAACAACAATACAAAATAGTTGTGCTGTTGACGATTACAAAAAAAGTCGGGACGTTTGCCTAACTGCACGATGCTCAGAGTTGCAGTGTGAATACATCATACTCCAGTATCTTTCCCCAAAACAACCACAGTCATGCGGGGGCTGTTACACATTTTGTCCATTTTCAAAAAGAAACATGCAAAAAAAAAGTCAGAATGGAAAAAGGAGAGGAAAGGAAAAGAAACGCGTTCCAATTATACACGGAGGTGGCCCCCCGCTGGGCGTGCCGCGCTGAGCAGGACCTGTCTTCTGGGCACTGCGCTGTGTGAGCGAGTTCACAGGGTGCTCTGTGCATGGGAGACTTCGGGTGTTTTTAGTGCTTTTGTAGCACTGACAAAAAGTGAGACTCCCCTCCTCTAACCTTTTCCCTTGGAGAGAACAGAGCTGCCCCCTCAAAGGACCAGGTGTGTCGGCCAGTGCTCACCCTAGGGAAACTGAGGCATCTCGGGGACCTGACGTGTGTTACTCTGACACTTTGGTGGTGGGGGGCCCAGCATTCGGATGTGCTGAGAGACACGGGAAAGGGAAGGAGCGGGGTGTGAGGCCCAGACAGACACGGGGGTCCTCGGCTGGGGTGCCCCTGACCACGGTCACGTCCATGCCGCTCCACCCCACAGCGCGGGTTTCTCCTGTTCACAGAACAAAACTCCCTACAGAAACTAGGCTATGCCCTAGCACTTTGCCAGCGAGGAGGCTGGGCCTCCGCGGCCGGCCCGACCAGGGGCACGTCGTGTCTATAAGCTACATGAGAGGCATTTGACACTGTGCACTTAGTTAACGCTAACTGGACCTCAGAACGGAGTTCCGAGGTGGGTGTGGGAGGGCGTGGGAACCCCGTCTTTCTCTGGCCCCCAGGGACTGGTGGGGCAAGTGAGAGGGGCGGCTGTGTAGCCGTTCGGAGGCAGGGACGGGCACGAGAAGTCCCCCATCAGTGTCCCCCCAGCCCCAGCCTGCACGATTTAGGCAAAATGCACCACGGGCCCGGCAGTGGTGCGGGGCAGGGGTGTGGGGTGGGGAGCCAGAGGGAGGCAGGGGAGACGGGCACCTGTGCCGGGGTCCGAGGGATCGGTGTGCAGCAGGCTGGGTCCTGGGCCGGGCACCTCTGTCCCTAGGAAGGCCCAGGGCCCTGGGGACCCAGGGGGTCTTGAGATTTCAGAGGAGAGTCCACAGCTGCCTCAGCTCCCAGACCATGGTCACACTTAGAAGTTCAACAGGAGGATGAACTTTCCAAACACAAACAAAACACAGAAGATTCCCGCTCGCATCCCACCAGCCCTCACCCTGCCAGTAGTCCCTGGAATGGCCAGGTCCCCAGACGCGGGGACAGCTCTCCTTGCCTGGCCCTGAGCCATCTGCATAGTACGGCTTTGGACAGGGGTCCCGGCCTCTTCCCCTTGGCGGGCCACCCTCCCCCTGACTGGAGGTGGCTGTCTGCATGGAGGGGCACCCAGCATGTGACACGGGGACCTCCTTCATCCCTCCCGTCCTCCCCCGGCAGTCGGGATGGGGTCAGGGACAGAGCCCGCTACAGGCCCGCCATCAGGCCACAGGCCCGGCTCAGCTCTGGGAGAGCAGCGGGGTCAGTGAGGAGTTTGGTCTGGGGAGGAACCCTGACACACAGTGGGGACACAGCCGTGCCTACTGCACGCACATACCCTCACGTACGCTCTTGGGCCAAAGCTGTTTGGAAAACAGGGTCACCTTAGCCTTGGGGACAGGCCCTAGGCTGAGGATTGCATCAAAGACCCTCAGGCCGAGAGCATGAAGAGCAAGCTGAGCCCCCGCCCTCCCCACCTCCCCAGGTTCTCGGGGCTTTTTCTGACCCAGGGCTCTGGGATGGGGCTCTAAGCCGCTTCCCCAAGGGCAGTCCAATGCCAAGTCCCACCCAGGGCCAGGGTACCCCTCAACCTCTTTCTTGGGGAGCCTGTGAACAGACCAGGGTGCTCCCACGTAGCAGGGTCTCCCTGGAGGGTCCCTGGGACACAGTGAGCGCCGTTCACTGTCCTGGGAACAGACTGGCGTCTGGCTTGCGCGTCAGACCATCCAAGCAAGGGGCAGCTCCGTTCTGAGAGTCCGAGCAGCGGCTCGGTGCCGGCCTGGGTCCCGAGGAGAGGAGACCGGTTGTTGTTTCAGGTGGGTGCAGTCCAGACGCATCCGAGGGACTGATGGCACAACAATGACAGGCTGTCCCGGCCACTTGGAGCAGATCTTTGCTGTCCCCGTCGGTTCACGAGCATGAGAGACTCTGGTCCAGGCGGCAGGGCCGGGGAGAGAGGCTGCTAGCGGCTGGTGATGGTGGTGCACGTTCCCAGCTCTCTCTGCCGTCCGCACAGCCCTCGGGGTGGCTGGAAGCGTCTGGTTGTCAGGGGCTGGGCCTTTGACGGGGTCCTCCAGGGATCCGACTGTGAGGAGTGGGGGGCTCATGCCAGGGTGTTCGGGGATGCTGGCTGGTTTGGGCTGTGGCTTCTGGAGACGCTGTACTCTTCTGGACCAAAGGCAACGGGACCTGCGTGGCATCTGGGGTAACAGTTGTCTCCGGGGGAGGCCTAATGGTTGACTGGGGGGGCCCGGGGGACAACCAAGGGCAGAGATGGTGATCATCAGGAAAGCCCCCTTGGCACCCCACCCGCCCCAGCTACATGCGGCATCAGGGCATCACCGAGCCCCAAAACTCGGTGAAAGCCAAGTGCGCACCGTGGTGCCTTTGGTAGACGGGTTGGGCCCGCCTCCGGGGAGCCTTCTGTGGCTGGCCTCTGGCCTCCCTCCAGCCTCGGGGCCGCCCGAGGGCCCAGGAGACCCCGACAGTGTACAGCAAAGGTCGAGGACTCAGAAGGGCTCTTGGGATTTGGACCCCAACATTTTTCTTTGTAAATTTTGTTAAACAAATCACCCACTTTTTTTCTTAATAAAAGACCAAAAAAAAAAAAAAAAAGACACATTCTCCCCGATTCCTTAATTGGTGTCTTCAGAGCTGGGACTAGCTGGGGCTGGGGGTGCTCAGGACTGGGGTTGGGGGGACGTACGTGGTCTGTCTGCTTGCTTTTCGTCACTCCTGAGTTTGAGGGAATCTGATACATGTACCAAAAGGCACTTTCTTTTTCTTTTTTTTTTTTTTTTTTAAAAACAGTGCTTCTGTTCTAAGAAATTCAAGTTAAGACAGAGTGCCTCTCGCTGTCCTTCAGTGCTAGTCAGCTCCTGTGGTGGGGGGCGCGCCGCGGGGCGAGAAGTGTTCATGCCAGACAGCTCACTGTTGGGGGGGCTGGGGCGGGGAGGGACCCCCTAACACACCACTAAATGACACGTCCGCAGGGAGTCGGGAAGCCCGGCGCCTCCCACGGTCCCGCTCCGCCAGCATCCGGGGAGGAGACGCTGCTCAGTCCTCCTCGCCCCCTCCGTACATATCTGCCAGCTTCTTGAACCTGGGCCCCCAGTCGTTCAGGTAATCGTAGTCTTGGTCCCCGGAGCTGGACGAGTTCAGGGAGCTGACGGAGCCCGCCGTAGAGCCGCTCCCTTCGTAGTCAAAGACCAGCAGGGAGTCGTAGGGGGGTGCTGTGGGGTCGTTGTCAGCGGCGCGGAGTCCCTGGGGTCACAGAGACACGGGCTTAGGGTGGAGGACGTGCTGTCCGGCCCTGGGGGCCTGACGGAATGGGGCTTGGGCGGGCGCCCCAGAGAGGAGTTGGGGAAGCAGGCCACGAAGGTGAAGTTAGTGGGCCTTGCATACGGGAGGTGGTCAATAAGTGCTCCCTGTGTTTAACTGAGGGGCCTCTCAGAGAACGAGTAGGGGGGGTTTATGAAAAGGGCAGTGCGTTGGAGGTAGCAAACTCCAAAGCTGGCGTGGCCACACCAGTAACGTGAGGCAAGAGGCCTGGGTGGGGGCCTGTGGCTAGGAGCAGCCCCTCCTGAGGGGCCAGAAGTGTCTTGAGCCCCTGTCACTGCGACACGGAATATGAACCTGAGGTGGGCAGAAGTCAGAAAGCTCCAGTCGTTACGTTCACTATCCCTATGAACAAAACTGGGGACGTGGCAGGTGTTGCTGGAGGCCCCCCGTGCGTGGCCTCGCCCTTGCTCCTTCCACCCGCACCTGCCCAAGGAGGGGTCCTGCGGCCTCCCACACGCCTGCGCGTGTGGCCCAGCACGGTCCCCTGTGACCGTGACGGTCCCCGTGGGGTGGCCTGGGCGCCCCCGGCGGTCTCTGGCTGCAGGACGCACCTCACTGCCAAGCCTGCCCTGGGAAGGGGCACCCTCACCGCCCCTCCATAGCAATGGTTTGTAGTTTCCGTGCTCGCTTTTCTTTAAGAATCATTTAAAATAGGCTTTAAATTCTAGGTTGGGGAAGACATACTTCTTGGGGTTTTAAATTTTTATTACATCCTGGGGAGTGAGTGCTTTTGGGCAGTTGTAGAACTTTGATCTGCGGCCCCGGACAGGATGTGTTTCAGGGAATGTTCTAAGTCTCTCTGCGTCTCTCCTGAACCGCTCCCTGGGCTCTATTCTGCTTAAGTAAATTAAAGCTAGATTCTCACAGAGCAGGGATATGTTGCCAGCCCCTCTTAGAAACGCGTCAGCGTTAGAGAGCAGGCGGTAAAACGTACAGGACGCCGCGGTTACGGGGCCAGGGCCGGCGGCGTCTCTGGGCGCGTGACCACACCGCATCAGCCCCCAGCCCCGGTCTGGCTGGGCCTCCTCACCGCAGCCTGGCCGCCCCAGCGTGGGTGGCAACGGGACGTTATTCTCCACGGAGGGGCCCTGCTCAGGGGCCTCTCCCGTGCCCGAGCACCCACCTCGTTGATGAAGTCCCCGATGTCTCCCGGGTGGGGCACCACAGGCCTGACGGGGTACTGGGGCTCGGCGCCCACGGGCCGCTCGTCCACCCGCCGCACGCCGGGGGCCTTGCTCAGCACGTGCTCCATGGCCTCCGGCTGCTGCAGTTGACTGAGGTCGTAGTCCTGGGGAGGGGCCGGGGGAGGAGGGAGGCAGGCGCGTCCTGTTGCGGCCGAGCACGCCCGCCCTCCCCCTAGTGCCCGCTCCCCTAATCCGTCCCCGTCTGTGCCCCCCAGGCTGCCCTCGCCAGGCTGATGCTCCCCGGGGGCCCCCCCTGCAGCTCCCGTGCCTCGTGTATTCCTGGGAGCAGCCTGGGGCAACGGCTGGGGCTCCTGTTACCATGCTTTAAGGGGGCACCAAGCCTTAGTGCCCTGACGGCCAACGCAGACCCGGCATCCAGCCAGGCAGCTCCCTGGATTCCCCTTCCCGGGCGCCCCGTGCACGGCCTCCTGGTCACCTGACAGCCCCCCGTGTGGGCGCAGGCACCGGGCTGGGGTCCTGGGCCGCCGGGAGAGAGCGGGAGGGAGGGGGGGGTCCCACGCCCCGGAAGCTGGCGCAGAGGGCCTCACCTGGTCCTCCTCACCGCCCCCTTCCTCGTCGTACTTGAGGATGTTGTCACGCACATCGTCCTCGGGGTCGATGAGCAGCTGCTTGGTGTGGCGCTCCTTCTCCCTGCGCTTCATCCACACGACGAACAGCAGGACCATGGCTGTGGGGCAGGGGCCACGCCGTGAGCAGGGCGCGCTCGCGCGTGGGGGGCCCGGGCGTGCGTGCGTGGCTCCCCATACTCACTGAGCAGGATGACGATGCAGATGAGGATGGCCACGATGGCGCTGGTGCCCAGACCGGCCGCGGCCACCGCGCCGATGCTGGTGCAGTCCCCATTCTCATCGCACGGGCACACCTTGACCTTGATGATGGACGTGTTGGACAGCGGGGGGTTCCCGGAGTCGGTGACGATGATGGGGACGTCGTACACGCCAGCCTCCAGGTACAGGATGCGCAGGCTCAGCTGGGCGTAGTCACCTGGCACAGAGTGACAGGACAGGCTTCGTTCAGTCCACGACCAGCCCTGCGCTTCAGCAAGACTTCGGAGGGAGGACCGAGTCTAGAGCACGACAGTCTGAAGCACCCGCTTGGTTCGCGCACACCCACACGCGCGCCCACGCTAGATCACTCCACAGAGCGAAAACACATTGGCAATTCAAGAGAAGAGCAATTGCAGTGTGTTGGATGAAGAAATCACTTCCTTAATATATAAAGAATTCTACCAAATCAATTAGAAAAAAACCTCAAAGAAAAATAGGCAAGGACATTGAATAGACAATTCGTGGGAGAAACAGCAAATGGCCATTAAATAAATGAAAAAAGTGCGTGGTAGTTAAGAGATGCAAAAGGAAACAATGATTTTGGCTAAAACCTTGGGAAAACAATGATATTCGGTGTTGGTGAGGGCTTGGGTAACAGGTGCTCTTTTGTAGGTCTTGGCATGACCTTTCCAGGCACATCCTCAGAGTGCTAGAAAACTTCAGGACTTGGATGCCCTTTTATACAACAAGTGCGCATCTAGGGAAGTACCCCGAGGAAATAGATTGATCAGGGTCCCATCCATCCGTGGTCCCATCAATAGGAAGCAGAGATGTGAGCAGCTGGGGCTGTAGGATGTTGACAGCTGTGCTCGTTGTAACAGCGGGACTGGGACTGCCTTCACGGCCCCCTCTGGGGATGGACTGGGGCACGGCCAGGGGCCCCAGCCTCAGGGGGCCCCCATGGGGGGAAGAGCCCCATCCCCACTGCTCACTCTTCCATGGGCCCCCTTGAGGTGCAGCATCCCAGACGTGTCCGATTCTCCTGGAGCCTGAGGAGGGCTCACCGTTTAAGCGGGTGATGGTCCAGTTCTTCCGCACAGCGGCTGGGACGAAGGGCAGCTCGAAGACGTAGGGGCCGATGTTGGGGTCAACGTCGGCATCGGCCGCTGTGATGTTGATGGCGTTCAGGCTGGGCTTCTCGCAGATCTGTGCCTCCTTGGGCAGCAGCTCGGGGGCGTTGTCGTTGATGTCAATTAGGTAGATCTGGAGGGTCCCAGTGCCGCTGGCCGGGGGGATCCCTGCGGGACAGACACAGGGTGACCCCACAGGGCTGCTCCACCATGACCCCAGGCACACGATGATGCACATGGGACCCACCCCCAGCCCCACCGTCCTGCCCAGGGACAGCCCCCAGACCCACACAGGACAGACGACGAGTTCGTGCAGGACAGACCCACAGCCCTGACCATAGCCCCAACTTGCGCCAACCCCCACTGTATGACATACACAGCAACTCGACTGTACACCACGTGGACCGAGCACAGGACCACACAGACATGCAGCCACCCCCAGCCCCACAGCTGCGAGTGCGCGTGTGTGCACCCACCCACACACACTCACAGTCTGGCGGGTGGTTACCCCGGCTTTCACTTGCTATCGAGTGAGCCTTTGTGCAAGGGCTCCTCTAGCTCCTGGAGCCTGAGCTGCACTGCTGTCCGAGAACCCACCATACAGACCACCAGGGGTCTACCTCAGGGCCTTTGCACATGCTGCTTCCTAACTCTGGGACTCCTCTGCTGCCCCTTCTTCCCCTGGCTTGTTCCCTCTGGTCCCACAGTCAGCGCCTCACGGCCAGGAGCACAGCTACAAGCCCTGGCCCCTCCCTCCCATGCCCTGTTGTGTTTTCTTCCAGAACATACTCCCTGAAGTTATCTGGTTGACTTGTTTCTCATTCATCTCACTGGGGCAAGAGACTGCTGAGTTGTCCCTCAATATCCATTTCCCCTTTTGTCCTTAATAGAAGAACCGGAGCCCCAGATTTTATCTGGGGTCATCACTGCCCAGCTGTTAGACTACATTTCTCAACATCCCTCACAGTGAAGTGTGGCTTCATGGCTAAGTTCTGGCCTTCGTGAGCTGGGGGTGGAAGTTCTTAGAAGGGCAGGAATGTGTCCCTGCCTTCCTTGCTCTTCCTCCCGTTTGCCAGAACGTGGTCACGATGGCTGGAGCACCAGCAGACATTCCGGACCATGCCGTAGCTCATGACCAGAGTGAGCCTGGTTTCTCAAACCTGACCCCAGTACCCCAGGGCTGCCTGCCTCCAGTCTTCTTTTATGTGGGAGGAAAGAAACCTCAGTCGTGTTGAAATTTCTATCGCCATTACACGGCTGAACCTGGTTTTAGCTGACACACAGACCTTGGGCACGTCAGCCTTGCAAGGGAAGGACTTTGGTCTGGTCTGTCTGCTGCTGAGTAGCACCCAGTGTGGGGCAGGAGCCCCGGGGCGATGAGAGCGGTGGCAGCGTGCTGGCTCGGGCCAGACCCCCTCCCTGTGCGTTCGAGGACACTGGCTGACTTAATCGTCACAGCTCCGGGTAGGGGGTAGGGCTGTCTCCACGCTACAGAGGAGGAAACCGAGGCACGGAGCAGTCAGGTCTCTTCCCACCACTGAAGTGGTGCTGGGACTGATCCCTGGTTCTAAGTCTTCTCCCTCATTCCCTCTGCCCTCCTGTGCAGGGTTGGCTGGGTACCTGGGGCTGTGGGCCTCGCCAGCTCCTGGGTGCCCTGGGTCCAGGGAGGGGCGACCTCGGGGCCTGGAGTCCCAGCCCCCAACTCTGGAGATGCTATCCACATCCCTTGGAAGGCCCCAGTGCTCACGAACCTTCTTCCTGCCCCGTGTGGGCCCCTCTGCTGCCGCCTCTGCCCAGCACCCCCTCACCCCTGCCCGGTTCACCTTCAACCCTGCTACCCCAGGGTCCTCGGGGCTCCTCATTCTGGCTCGGAAGCCTCACCGTCACCCCCTCGGAGCTCCCAGGGCTCGTGCTGCTGGTGTGTGGCCCCTCACGGTGCTTGCCCTGTCTCTGAGGCCCCTCCCCAAGGCACCCCTGCTCTGACGGAGGGCTGCAGGGGTCCGGATCACAGGTGGTCAGAGCCACAGGGGGCGGCATCCCGGGGCTGCTTAGGGGGAGCCCCCCCCCCTCTGGTGCGTGGTCAGCATGATGGGGCTGCTCGGCTTACACATGGATGGAGTTCAGCAGCCCTCAGTTCACCAGGTGGGGAGCTGAGAAGCTGCTCGGGTCACGTTCAGCCGAGACAGGACTGGACAAACCTCGGCCCGCCTCGGCCATCCTGGCTCCCCTGGTGTCCACGAGGGAGCGCCATGCATGAGCGAAGGGGTGCGAGTTTGTGCAGACCCGTGAGCCGGGTGGTCAGGCAGCGGCCCTTGCTCCGAATGCGTGCAGAGAGGGGGCTGCCTGGGGACGCTGAGGGACCCCCAAGGCTCTGCACAGGACACCTGGCGCCGCCCCTGCCTCCCCGCTTCCCTCCTCCGGCTTCTCCGGCTGGGGCCTCCCTCCGTCTCCCCGCCACAGAGCCCCCGGCACGGGCCGGCCCCCGGAGCGGGGCGCACCGTTGTCAGCCGCCAGGAAGGTGGCCTCATAGACGTTGTTTCTGATGTAGAGGGACTCGCGGTCGAGGACGGCGGCCGTGGTGATCTGACCGTTGGTGGCGTTAATGTGCAGCCAGTTTGCTGGGTCTGACAGCTTGGAGTACCTGAGGAGGGGGGAGGTGAGGCGGTGAAGGGGAGAGCGGCCCCGAGCCCCCCAGCCCCACCCTCTGCAGGGTGCCCGCCCGACACGGGGGCGCTGTCCCTGCAGCCCGCACGCTCCGCCCTCGGCACGCCTCACGGTCGCCAAGGCGGTCGCGTTCCCGATCCTCACGAGGACCCCGGGAGGCAGGTGCTGTCCTCGCCCCCTCTTTCCAGACGGGGAGACTGAGGAACAGAGAGGGGTAAGTGACAAGCCAGCTCAGAACCCGCCTGACTCGGGAGAGCGTTGCGGGTGCTGGAAGGCCTGCCGCCCTGGGGGGGGGGTGCACGGTGACGCGCGCGGTTTGCTGAGCTCCTGTGGCGTCGCACTGACCGCCTGGATCTCGCGGGCCGGCTGGGCCCCGCTGTCCCCCGGTGGCTCCTGTGGTGCCCTGCCTGGAGGGACAACACAGGCGGGGGACTTCCTGGGGTGCAGGTTTACTGGGCATGATGGCACTCCGCTGTAGGGAAAGCAAGGGAGCCCACGGGTTGGATCCCTTTCCTGAGGCCCGAGGGCGGACCCACCTCACGGCCTGCTGCATGAACCGGTCAGGGTCCACTGCCGAAAACGTGGTCAGCGCGGTGCCGGTGGGCACACCTTCCTCCAGGCGGATCAGCTTGTGGTTCAAGGGGAAGTAGGGCGCCTCGTTGATGTCCATGACGGAGATGGTCACCCCTGCTGTGGACTGGAAGGACATCTGGATCCCGCTGGCCAGGGGCGCCTGGTTGGAGACCATCACAGTCAACATGAACGCCCTGTTCAGCTCGTAGTCGACTGCCTGGAACGAGAGAGTCCCGCGGGGGTGAGCTGATGCAGGGGCCTGCGGGCTGGCTTGGAGGCGGGAGGCCCGGTGGGTCTGCACCTGTTCCTCTTGCCCGGCTCTGTGCCCAGGACGCTGGTCCCAAGGGAAGCTGTCTCCAGAACTCCCTTGTCTCTGGCTTCCCAGGGGTTTGACAATGGGAGGAGAGAGTTTGGGGTAAAGGACCCCCACTGGGCCTTCCCACCACGCCCTGGTGTGGCAGTAGCTGGGCCCCTGGGGCTCCGGCCCCGGCAGCGGCACCCCTCCCTGGCGCCAGCTCTCAGCAGGTGCTGCTCCCTCCAGGCTGGCGAGGTCAAGGCCCCCACTGCTGTTTGTCTGGGGCCCCTTGCTGGGTGCAGCGGGCGGTCTCTTCTGTTGTTCTAATCCCTCCAGTTTTTGGTAATTTTTACAGCAGCTCCAGGACACTCACACACCAGCTCTGTGGGTTCTCTACCCTCTGCATGGGGTTCCTGCATGAGCGTGGTTCCCGGTTACACCCTTTGGGGCCCCAGGACCCTGTCTGACAAATGCTTTCAGAAGGGTTCTATGGTCTGGGGAGCTCCCCACATTTTGGGGAGGGTGGGAAGTTGCAAGGAGGCACTTGGGGCCGAGACGTGTAACACACGTAGCGACTCCAGGAGCAGGCCGGGACAGTCTCGGGGAAACCACCCGACGCGACACTCTGCAACAACATTTACACACGTCCGCCCAGACGGGTGCAAGGTGACGTATGCACAGGACGGCTCCCGGCGGGTCTCTGTGTCCTCACAGAGGACGCACCCTGGAGGCCGTGGGCTGGTGGCGGGATGGGGAGGTCTGCAGCCGTAAGCAGGAGCGAGGAGATCGGACGGAGAGCAGAAGTAGATACACAGCGGGCTGCCTTCCGTGTAAAGGAGGGAGAGGAATTTGAATTTGTATTTGTTCGTATTTGCAGGAAGGAAGACCGCAAGAGTGAACCGGAAAACGCATGAAGATGGTGGCCTGTAAGCAGAGGGGTGAGCGGGGCGGAGGGAAGGGTTGGGGCTCGAGGTTGTGCGAGCTTACCGTCATGGAGCTCGGTCTACTACCGTCACGCTTTAGTCATTATAGAGGAAATTAAATATGTAAAGCGATCTCTGAAAATTGCAAGCAAACCGAAGTAAAGGGAGACTATATATCAACGGGTAACATGACTCTCAAGAAAAGAATGAGTTCAGGTGACCAGGGCAATATTTAGATGGTAGTTCTTGGTGGGATTTATTTTAGGGACAATAATCATTGCAAAGAAATCTTAAGCTCACTTGGTCTTCTCCCTGTTGGTAGTGATCTGGGGTTTGTTATTTTTTAAAGCTTTTTATGTATATCTCAGGGTAAAGTAAATAAACACGTGTAATAATGTGGTTAGGAAATAAGATTTTCGGTGTAAGAGAAACGAGATACAAGTATGAAGTCAGCAAAGTGAAGTAGAAATCCTCCGGTGTTAAATCTGAATAAAACGACCCTTTGGATCGGTGAAAGAAATGGAGTCGGGGTGGGCACGTGCGTTGAAGCGTGGTGTCCTTGCTCTGCCCCCGGGCCCCCAGGAGTGAGAGCAGCGAGCAGGAGCGAGCCCTCCGGGGCCTGGATGCTGGTTTCCAAGGACCAGCCCTCACTGGAGAGATGGCCGACCCGAGGGGAGGCAGGCAGCCCACGAGATGAACTGCTTGGGCCACGGTGCACGGAAACGGCTCGCGGCGGAAGGACCCAGGAACCAGCCAGAGGAGGCTCCTGCTCGCCGGGGGCCAAAACCAGTCATAACTGCAGCTGACCAAAGCACACTGAGTACACACAAACGCGTGCGTCTTACCAGCCATGAGAAAATGCAAACACACACACACACACACACACGATTCTGCTTATGGCTGTGGTGGGGTGATTAATGGCCTCCAAAGACATCCGGGTCCAAAGGTCTGGAATCTGTGACTGTGTCGCCCTCCACGGCACAGGGACTTTGTGGGCTGATGAAGTTGGGGGTCTTGCAATGGGAGCTGGCCCAGGATTACCCAGGTGGCCCGAAATAGCATCCGAGGGTGTTTAGGAGGGGAGACGGGGGGACCTCTGGCACAGCAGCAGGCAACGTAGGGGCTGAGGCAAAGACGGCCCTGGCTCTGAGGACGGAGGAGGGCCACGGAGTCGGGGCGTGGCCTGCCAACCTGGTAAGAGCCAGCAAATGGAGCCACCAGAGCCCCTGGGGGGAGCACAGCCTTCCCGGCTCTTTGGTTTCGGCCTGTTGAAACGGATTTTGGACTTCTGACTTGCAGAAGTGTGAGAAGACCGCGTGTCGTGTGGACACCCAGCTTGATGTGAGTTGTAACAGCTGCCGCCGTAAACAGAGAGAGACCTCAGACAGCTGCTGGTCTGGATGATAAAAGGCAGCGAATGAAGCTTTCATCTGCTTTTTCTGCTGGACTCTGTATTAGTTTCCTGTTCCGATTTAGTGGCTTAGAGCAACACAGATTTGTCGTCTTACAGTTCTGGAGGTCAGAGGTCAAAAATCAGTGTCCCTGGGCTGCAGTCAGGGTGTGGGCGGGGCTGGGTCCCCCTGGAGCCTTGCCCCTTGCAGCTCTGAGAGGCCACGTCCTCCACCTACAGAGCAGCCACGTGGCCCCTTGCAGTCCCTCTGGGACCTCTGCTTCTTCCCCAGGGCGCCTGGGACTCTGACCTCCTGCCTCCCTCTCCCAATCACGCTGTGAGCCCAGGGGCCCCCTGGATCTCCCGGGGTAACCTCCTATCTCAGAACGCTTAACTGACTCACATTTGCCCAGCATGTGCCGCACACGCGTGGGTCCCAGGCCCAGGGCCTGGGCACGTCTGGGGGGCCGTGGTGCTGACCACAGCAGACCCACATTTCCGTGTCCTGCGGAGCTCTTGTTGGGGAGGGGAAGCTCATTCGTACTGAATAATTCCAGCCAAGGAATGACAGAACTTCAAAAGCACCATTCTGTACTCACTAATGAAGACATTTCCGTGAACAAGGATCACGAGTAGATGATAGAACCAGCCGATGGAGACTGATGGAGGTGTGCATATTTGCAGGTGCGAAGCATCACGTGCGGACCACTGGCTGGTCATAAGGGAGGAGAAGTCAACTCTGCAGTGACGGGAACAGGCTGTCACCACCTGAGCCCACCGGTCAGGCCTAGATGACTGGAGTGGGACAGCCGGGCACCACGGGCCTCCTGATGTGACTCAGCCCCAGGCACAAGGCCCTTTCCCATGGACGGCCCCTGCAGGCCTAATCCCAGGTTACCGGAAACGTGGGAGAGCGAGGAACAAGATTCGCCATGAGGAAGTGATTGGACAGTTTGGCACATGCGACCTCCCACAGGCCAACTGACCCGGTATCTGTGACAGGTCAAAGGTGGGTGGGATGTTCTAGATTATGAGAGAGTCAAGAGATGTTGCAATCAACTGCATGCAGGGACCCTGTCCAGATCCAGATCTGAAAAACCACAGCAAAGAGACACTTTGAGGAAAATTAAGGGACACCGAGCACAGACTTGCACCGGCGGATACGAAGGGCAGACGGCTGCTTTTGTCAGGGCTGTGACCGGTGATGTCACGTGCGTACGGAGGCAAAACGTATTTCTGAGGGTGACGCATCCTGACTTACATAGAGATGGACGGTCATGAGGTCTGGGAGTTAAAAACCTCTTTCAGCAAGAAACAGAGATGAGACGGTCTGGAATAAGCTACCACGTCAGACTACAGTGCGGACGAGACCACTGCCGTCTGTCTTCTGGGCACCCGGAGAGGCTCACGATGGACAGAACAGCGCGTGTTTCTGCTTAGAGAGGAGCTGATCTGCTGGGTCAGGAAGCTGTGCTCGCGGCCAGCAGTGCCTCTCCCGACCGACCCGAACCCCAGCCCCTGCAGGGTCCCCCAGCACCTCAGCGTTTGACCTGGGTGAGCATTAAAAATCTTACAGCTGGTGCATCGAACCCTTGCCTTCTCAGCTACGGCTACAGCTGTGGCATTAAGTATGAAAAGAAGGACTTTAAAAACTAAGTAAATAATAGCAGGGGGATGGGCCCGGGGATTCACGGAAGCCCGAAGCCAGCCCGACAGGAGGCTCTGGAGGCCGATGCCCTCCGGAGATCGGGGTTCTGGGCTGACCCCCATCGTCCTCTTCAGGCGTGATCTCCTTGTCCGCCCAAGGAAGGGGTGGTTCCTGCAGGCCCCCTGGAGCCTGGCCGTGAGATGCCATGTCCCTCTGTGGCTCACGCCTTGTCATGGCTGATGTCTTCCCCCGCCCCTGATGGCGCCTTGTATCTTAGCGCGGTGTGGGTAGGGGTCAGCCTGGGCGAGGATGGGGATGGTGCGAAGGCTCCCTTGTCCACCCCCATTGCCCATCACCTCGCACGAGGCTGGGTGCTGCTCAGGTACGTGTGTGTGGGAGGGCCTTGTGCCCACAGATGGCGCCCAGGCAGGCCACCGGTCTGATGAGGTGCCCAGTGCAGAATAACTTGGCAGCCCTTGTCTGAAAGATACTGCCCAGGACTTCAGGCCGCAGACCGGTGAGCCCTCCAGCAGGTGCATCCTGGACTCTGGATGCCCCCACAGCAGCCCCTGCACCCACGCTGTGTCCAGGTCCCCTCAAAACCAAGCCAATGCCTCCAGACCCTCCCCCCGGACCCTCCGAGAGTCGTCTGGGGACGGGGCTCCTCCATTTAAATGGACAGTTTAATAAAATTGTGGTGTTTTTGTCTCTGAACAAACCACCAAAAGGAAGTAATCTTTCTCCCCGTTTATTGGTTCTTGTCCCCGGGGGACACGGAATAACGCCGCATGTCGTACATTAAGACTGTGTCACCTGTCTGAGGGAGAATGCCTTCCAGAAAGACTGTTATGGCCAATAAATGTCCACAGGAGGGTGAAATAAAACATTTTTGTAATGGAGAAATCGATAGGTAATTTGGCCCCCCAGTTTCAATTAGAGCGGCTGGGTATACTGCTGGGGCTCGGCCCGGCTGCCTCCCCAGACGGGGCAAGGACGCTCCACTAAAAGGCGAGGGGCAGGGTCTGCGGCCTCAGGAGAAGCCACCCGCCGCCAGTGCAGGTGGTGTGGGCCAGGGCTGGGGCCCCGCTCCAGGGCCGGCGGGAGGCTTGGGGGCATTCGCTTCCATGCGCTGCTGCCCCGGGAGCTGGTCCCTGCAGGACTGCAGGGGCTGGAGGGCGGCGCCCGCTCCCCTGGGACTCCCACCAGCCCCGCCCCGGCCTCGGCCCCTGGGCCAGAGCTTGCTCACTGCCCCCCAAGCCGCAGTGCTGCCGAGGGGCAAGCGGGAGAGGCCGCTTCTTGGCTTTTCTGCCTCAGAAGCTGAGGTCCAGGCGCGAGGCAGGAGAAGGGCCTGGGGATGGTCTGAGCCTGGAAGAGATGGTGGTTTCGTGGCTGGAGGTGGCGGGGGCGGGTGGCGAGGCAGAGGGCGCTCCCGAGGAGGCTGGGCACGGTGACGGACGCCCACTGGGGCTGGTGGTCTGAGGGCAGAGCAGCTGTGCCCCAGCTCGGCTGCAGCCTGGGCAGTGGCAGGCCCGGCATGCGGGGCAGGATGGAGCTGGGGGGCGCGGGGGGCAGGGCAGGGGTCAGGAAGACCCGCCCCAGGCGACTGGGCACTTCCTTTGACAGGCATGCAGCCAGGATGTGTGCGAGATGGCTGAGGGCCGGGCTGACCACACACATGTCTACACGGCACCTCGCCCGCCCCCAAAGCAGCGAGGTCCCGGTCCAGGAGTCCCACCACCTGGGGGCACGGAGGCCGAAACACCAGCAGGGTGCTGGACAGACGGGAGGGCTCACCGGCGGGTGTGTGGCCTCTGGCGAGTACCTGCCTGAGAACATCCCAGAAGCTCCCTCTCCACATCCCTGCCGCAGACTGTCACCTCCTACAGGCTGGGGCAGTGATGGTCTGGGCCACAGTGCATGGACACAGCACGCGGCCCGATTCCTCTGGGGGCCCTGGGGACCCTGGCGGGACTGAAGTGACCTTCCTTGTGCCCTGGGGAGCGCGCGGGAGCCCGGCTGTTCCCTGTTGACGTGACCGTGTTCAGTGACGGCACAGCTGCTTCTGTTAGCCATGTGCCCGGCGCTGGGCCAGATCTACAGGCAGGACCCGCTGAGATCTGGCGACAGCCCCGGGCACAGGCCCCTCGTCTGGGGCACCAAGGGCGACAGGCCCGCACCAGGGTAAGTGAGCGAAGAGCCAGCCCGGGAATCCAAGAACATAGCCCCCCCCCGCTGGGAGCAGACTCCCCCCACTGCCTCGCACCCCCCACACCCCCTCCCGGCCACCCCTCTGCAAGAGAATGTCTGAAAGCACAGTGTCTCTACCAAAGGATGCAAAAATAGCCTGAAAATGCTTTCTAAGATGAAGCATCTTGCCTTAAACAGACTTTAAGTGGAGAGTTCAGAGAAAACCAGGTCCTCGTGAAGCCTGCCTCTGGCACGAGCAGGGGCGTGCAGTCCCTTGTCCCTGGATAACCCCGTATCACTTCTGTTCATCTGTCCCAGGGTGGTGGCGGGGGACAGAACCCACACCGGCCGGCAGGAAGCCAGGAGAGTACCCACCTTCACCACGGTGACCATGCCCTCATTGGTGACGGGGTCCGTGCGGATGCTGAAGTGTCCTGAGGGGTCCCCGCTGAGGATGCGGTAGAAGGCATTCCAGTTGGGCGAATGGGGCTGATCTCGGTCCATGACGGTGAGGTTTGCGACCACCACCTCCACCTGGTTTTCGGGGACCTCCCCGGCGTACTGCAGAGCACAAGGAAAGACAATGTTCTGAACCCGTGCGGAAGCCTGGAGAGGTCGGAAGAGACTCTCTACCAACCCCTTGGGGGGTGCCCTCTGCCTCCAGCTTCTCCCACACACGGGGACCCCACGCCCATTCCACGGCACGGTGGCATCTTCAGAGGGCTCTGGTTCCTCCAGCTGTACCCACCACCCAGCTCTAGACCCAGCCTCACCTGCACACGCACACATGTGCCCACCGGCCTCCCTCCTAAACCCCCCAGGCCTTTCCCTCGTGCCCTGGAGCCCTGTGCAACAGCGGGGACGCACGAGAGACTCTAAGGTACGTTTGTAGGACAGGAGCTAGACAGCAGTGGGGGGCTTCCTCCAGACGATCCTGACTGGGGTCCTGCCATCCCAGCAGTCCCACCATCGGCTCGGGGCTTGGGGTCCGTGGCTACAGATGTGTGATGACCGACCACGGAGCCTTTTCTCCTGCCAAGCACCGTAGGGGCTGCAAGCCCCTCCCGTCGGTGGGGGTGGTTCACGGGGCCGAGACGGTTGTGTGCAGGGAAAGGCGGTGTGTGTGTGTGTATGGGTGTTGGGGTGCTAGTAGGAATCTGAGCGCCCCTACCGAGTGAAATCACTGCTCAGGGCTGGCCCCGTGGGCATGTGGCCTGTGAAGCTGTGGCCCTGTGCGGAAGGGCCCTGAGTTTGGCCAAATGCTCTCACTGTCTTGAAATTCTTTTTTTTTTTTAAGATTTTATTTATTTATTTGACAGAGAGAGACACAGCGAGAGAGGGAA